AAAAAATAACCAGCCAAGGGGGTTAAATTCCCCAGTTGAAATAAGGCCCTTCAAAAAGATCCTCACCTCACTGTGTTTAGCTTTTTTAACTCGTAGTTGGCAATAACTTGTGATGCTTTTTAAACAACTGACTGTGTTCTTTAACAGTGAACCTTCATGCTTTTCTGACAGACACGGAGTCAGTGTCTTTGACGTAATACAGTGGTGGCTGTGCATGGTATGCCATGGCAAGCTGTAACTGACCTGTAAAAGAACAACCTGAATCTCACGTTCTGCAGGGCAGAAGCACCTGCAGGAAATGCTTTATGCTCATGTGCTGTAGTTCTAGGTAGCATATACTTATCCTTACCCACCCCTTTTCATAAGAGCTGATGGCAACTTTTGTCTTTCCCAGAACTGAGCGTCAGTATCGGGATCTGTCCTGCTGCCTTACCCTGCTTCCCATCTCGGAACGGGGCCTTCAAAAGCTGCAGGACAACTTTGACTGCTTTGCAGACAAGCTCCAAGAGCCAACTGTCTACAGTTGTTTCCAAACTGTGCTGGCTCGATTCCGCAGAGCAGGCAGCAAACCTGAAGCTAAAGTAAGGATGGGGGGCGAGTGTCCAAGCCAGAAAAATCATTGGAAAAGACCTGCAGGTCTCCATTTAAGCAGGCTACTCCTCACCTGCAACAATTTATCAAAGAACTTGATGGCAATTCTGCTAGAGATGTAAATTTGTTCCCCTTTTTCCCCTTTGTTCCATCTCCATCAGGCTCTGGCTGAAGAGCTGGAGCAGAAGCTGTTTGCTGCCCATAACCGAGGGCTGGATTCAGCAGAGACATGCCAGAAAGGCAGTGCAACCCCAATGCCAGAGTCAGCGAAGCGGAGGCAAACAGGAGGTATGTTCCTTTTGTGAGACTGCAGCCTTCCCCCTGATCCTGCAGGTCCACCTGGGGACACTTCCTCAGCTTGACATACAGAATGGCTGCTAACTGTCTTGTTTTGTTTCTCTTCTTGGCAGGTTCACGTCGCCAGCCCCTGAGCACAGCTAACAGGGATGAAGATTTTGTCACACCCCAACCTCGCAGCCTCCGAAACCAACAGCGTGCCAAAAAGCGCCCTCCACCCAAAAAAGTTACTATCACCTTCTCCAGTGATGAGAACAGCTCTGAGGATGGTATGGCATTGTACATGTATGCTTTGAAGGTGAAAAGGGAGAATTTAGTCCGGGGGTGTTCCAGAATGTGTGCAGGGCTTCAGAGCACTGCCTGAATTGCCTGTAGATTTCTCTGCTCAAAGCAGCAGAGTGCTGGTTATTGACACGTTTTACTCTTTTTAGAGCTATCGGCAGAATTAAGAGAGGAAGAAACCCCCACCAAAACAACTCCCATCACCAGATCTTCGGCCCGCCGGCTGCGCTGAGGGAACCATCTGCCGCTGTCTTTGACTAAAAATAAACCTTGTTTTATGCAGCAAGCATCTCTCTTGTCTGAGCTACCCCGTAATATGACAGCTCTGTAAATGAGGACAAAATGAAAGTTATACACCAGGCTAAAGCAATTCCAATCCTGTCTTTTGGTATCCCTACAAATAAAGGAAGTGATGAACACAGATTACAGAATGGTTGGGGTTGAAAAAGATGCCTGGAGATCACCTAGCCTAACTCCGCTGCTAAAGCAGGTTCACCTAGAGGAGGCTGCACAAGTTTGGATCCTGGTGGGTTTTGAATATCTCCAAAGAACACAGCCTCTCTGGGCAGCCTGTTCCAGTGCTCTGACACCTTCAGAGTAAGGAAGTTTTTCCTCATATTCAGGTAACATAACTTCCCATGCTTCAGTTTGTGCCTGTTCCTGGGCACTAGTGAAAAGAGTGGCCCCATCCGTTTGACACCTGCCCTTAAGATACTTGTATGCATTGATAAGATCCCCCTCAGATGTCTCCTCTGCAGGTTAAGCAGGCCCAGTGCTCTCAGCCCTTCCTCATAAGAGAGATACTGCAGCCCCCTGATCATCCTTGTGGCCTCCAATGGATCCTCTCCAGTAGCTCCTTGTCTTTCTTGAACTGGGAACTGGACAAAGTACTACAGATGAGACCTCAATGGAGCAGATTAAAGGGGGAGGACTACCTCACTCAACCTCCTGGTCGTGCTCTTCCTAATGAGCCCAGGCTACCATTGCCCTTCTTGGCCACAAAGGCACATTGCTGGCTTATGGACAACTTGTCCACCAGGACTCCCAGGTTCTTTTTGCAGAGCTGCTTTCCAGTAGGTCAACCCCTAACCTGAACTGGTCCTTGGGGTTATTACTTTTGCAGGAGCAGAACCCTGCACTTGCTTTTGTTGAACTTCATTAGGTTCTTCATCCATCTCCAGCCTGTCCAGGCCTTGCTGAGTGGCAGCACAGCCTTCTGGTGTATCAGCCACTCCCAGTTTTGTACCATCAGCAAATCTGCTGAGGGGACGCTCTGCCCCTTCCTCAATGTCATCAATGAACAAGTCGAACAATGAAGCTAAGCTGCTCTGATAAAAAAATCTTTGGAAGGAAGCCTTTTTAAGAACCTCTCTTAGGTTCTTAGAACTCTAATAGAATGCTCATTCCCTTCCCATTTTGTACGTGCTTGTCAGTACAGCCTTCAGCTTAACAGAGGACTGATGCTATGATTTTGCTGGCTTTAGGCCCTTTTATGTTTGATCATTTTGGAAGCTCTTGCCCTGCAAAGCCCAGCAAGGTTTTGAGAGGAAGATACCTGCATCATTTGCTTGTGTCGGTTTCCTCAAAGAACAGTTGAGGGATTGGGGGATGAGGAGAGAAAGGCTGACTTAGGCTGTAACTCCAGTGCTTCAACAGAGTATATGCAAAGTCAGGGGGAAACAGATACAACTCTTTTAAAAAGGTATTAAAAGAAAAAAAACACTAAACATAAAAGCTATAGAGTTCTCTTTGCCCAACTCTAATTTGCTCAAGTTACCAAGTGTACTGGTAACGTTGGGTGTTTCACTGCACTTTTTGGAGTATGTTTGCTGGGAAGCCAGTTATGTTTCAAATAAGACTGGCACATAAGCTGTGTCCTAGGAATGCCACATCAGTACTCAGGTTGGTCCTGGCACTCCTTGGACTGCCATGTGAACACAAAGTGCCCTAAATGTGAATTTGTGTTATTCACACAATCTTTAACCTCCTGTCTCACTGGTAAGTTGGCATTTGTCCCAAAGCTCTTAGTACAGAATTATTTCCTCTTACCTATCAGTCACCTGGAAAGCAGGCTTGTCACTAGTTGGGCTGGAATTGCAAGGGCCCTCCTATCAGTAGGTTCCTGCTGGTCTTCCACAGTCCCTGTCTCTGAGGATCTGCCAAGTTCCTGCAGTTGTCGTGGTCATCCTTGGTTTGCCAACAAGTAGAGGCTATGGTTCAGTTCTCTGTCCTGGCTGCACAATAGAGATAAGAGACTACTATGGGCATAAATGTGGTTGTATAAAAGAGTAGTCAAGAGACTGATTGGGTGAAACATCTACCTTACCCCCTTGTCACTACTAGTGTAATAGCCAGATACCAATATAAATACCCACCCAAAATCAGAGGACACCAGTAAAGAGATAATCATGTGAAATACAAAGATCAGAAAGCTACAGCAATATTGTCCCTCTCCCATCCTGCCATGTTGACCATTAATTGCTATGGGAGGAATAATCCCACTCCCTTGTTTCTGAGGCAATGGGAATACTCAGTGCCAAGATCAGTGGTGCTTCCATTCTCTGACCATGGTGGGCTCCAAATTCCTACACATGCTTTCCTTGCTTCTAGGGTATGCAGAAACCATCAGCCCTTTCCATAACCGTGGGCTGAAGTACACTTGGGTTTTCCGCAGGGTACTTCATCCAGGTCCTAGTCCTCCCACTCTCCAGTTGCCTTCCTCCTGTCCTTTATAAGCAATTGTTTCTGAAAGACTGGGTGTGATTCAGCAGGAGACCAATTTTCTGGTGCTATTGCAAGCTCTAGAAGCAGTGCCTCAGCATCAGAGGGGGAAGGGTTTTTACAGAAGAAACTTGTTAGCACCAGAGCAGAAAGAAGGACAATAACCTATTTGAGTCTGTGAAAACTGGGGCAGTCGGGGACTCGTTGTCTGCCAAAGCCTTTTCACATCACAATCATGGGAAGCACATGTCAAAGCAACTATTCAGTTCGACTGCAATCCCAGCAAGGATCTGGGACACAGAGCAATTGCAGCTTCGTGGCACCTGAGTCATCGAGCATCCAGAATTTATTCAGGCTTTGATGGATTTGCAAATTTGCAAGAATTTGCAAGAAAATTTGCAAATTTTCTATAGTCTCTGAAGTTTCTTGCTTGGTATGGGACAGTGATGATGTCTTCCCTCTTGCTGGACCAAAGGAAGGGACCTGCCACTAGAGAGCTCAGAGCCTGCGTGCAAGTGGGCTGGAATTTGGAGCAGTTGTAAACACATATCTGGCATTCTTCTTGCAGTATGGGGGCCACCACATTCAAGGGATGCCAGATCAAACCACTGCTACATTTTGTAGGTATAAAGTGGTGTTGCTTTTGTACTTACCGTTTGCTCAGGAAAGAGCTGACGCCTGGAACCAGTGCATTCAACCGGAGATGGATCGGCCTGCAGCTGTCTTGCCGGGAGCATGAATGCTCTAGCACACTGACTCAGCTGCTTCTGGATGGTCAAATGTGACTAGGAAGTACAGAATAACATCCTCTGAGACCTCTTGCATGTGGGATGAACACGTGCTCATATCCCATCCTCCTTCCTCTCTTTCCCACCCCTCCAGAATTTCACATCACAAAGCTCTATACCCTACCACATCCAGCACATGGATGTTGCGTGCACATATCCCACATTTTGCCTGTGTACAGGCACCCCATCAGAATCCCCACCTGAGCAGCACATTGCTTGTGCTTTGTAGTTTAAAAGGCTATCCTGAAAGCAATCCTGTTCCCCATAAAATATCTCAGTGGAGGCTGTTATCCAGGGACTAGGGAGCACTTCCATTTCTTGGCATGCCCTGGATAGCTGTCCCAGGCAAGGGGGTGACAGGGCACTACCAGACAGGATCACCAGAGCATTGCTCTGGAACCAGGAGGGTCGCAGGTATCAAGTGGAGCCAACATACTTGGATGCCCCCACCTATGCAAAGTCTCTCCTGCATCCAGGAAAGATATTCTAGACTGAATTCACACACTCACTTTTCATAGACTGGATGAAAAACAGTTCCTAATACTTTCTGGCTCCTTGGGCAGGGAAGAAATCTACATCTATAAATGCAAGATGCTGGGAAGGAAGGAGGAAAAGAAGAATGGCAAATATCTGAACTGTGATTTTTGTTATCTCTGCAAAGACTTTTTTATTATTATATTATTCCTTTAAAGAATATAATAATTTCCATAAAAGCAGGCAGCAGAACACTGCCTGTCGAATTTTGTCCCAGTTGCTTTGTGCAACAATACTGAAGAAAGGGAAGTGTAAGGCGTTATTGAACTCCCCCAGCACACCCACTCCTAACCCTGTTCTGGGGTACAGTCCCCCCATTCTGCTCCCCTGACAAACCTTCCCGATTAGTTTCTGTCTTCACACCCAGGCTGACTTCTGCACCCTGATCTCCAAACAGTGACCTCATTGCCTTGTTCAGCTGGTGAGAAACTACAGTAAAATGGGAGAGGTAAACAAAGGCAGGGGGAACTAATGGCCAGAAGATTTAGGAGGTAGGAATCTGCTCCTTGCCATCCTGCTTCCATTGTGCGCCTGGGCTTGAGAAAGTGCAAGCTGAGCCTCAATGAGCTCTTTTCTTGCCCTGGTTCCTCTGGAAACTCAGCCCAGCCCTCCAGATGGTGACTCAGGACAGCCAGCCCGCAAGTTACATGCCCGCTAGTACTTAGATCCATGCTCCCATCAGCAGTACAAATCCCATAGAGTTAGTGCTGGAATTCACACACCTTCTGCAGCAAGAGCTCTTCATTCCCAGGCCAACCAGCTCACTGAGATAAAAGTATTAAAAATGAAAGCCTTTATTGTCATGGAGCTGAATTTGTGTCAGCTCTGTGCAGTCAGCAATGTGCCAACCATTGTAGTGGTTGCTCATGCTGATTAGAGAAATAGCATTAACAGCGTTCTCACTAGAAAGAGCATGTTCAATATCATTATACAATCCAGCCCTCAATATCCTCCTTTGGGATATGTTTCGAAGTATCACCCTGTTCCTGACCCTCACAGATACCTCCAGGTCCTGGCCAGCAGCAGCTCAACTCACATTCGTCTTTCCAGACACTCAGTAAACAGCTTTGTGTCTTTTCTCTTTAAAGGAAGGGGTCTTGCTGAGCTCACCCTGAAATATATCACCCTGGACAAAAGGGCTGAAAGGTTAAGGAGCTCCAGGGGGTGCTTCAGCAGAGAGCTGGGGGCCAGGCGCCTGCCAGAACCAAAGCTATAAAGGCAAAGAGGGGCAAGGGACTGCATCTGACACAGATGCTGCAGGTCCTGCCTCACCTCCCACAAGCCTTGCGATAAGGAGAAGATGCTGGGGCTCCACTCGTGGCCTTGCTCGCTTTTACTCCTCTTAGTTCTGCTCTCTGCCAGCGTTCAGACTGTGTCCTTATCAGCACAGAGGCTACAGGTAGGAGGGACCGGGAGAGAGCTGAGGGAGGCTTCAGAAGTGGAGGGGCAGTTTGGGGAGGTCATGTTTGAACATGGAATGCTGATCCCAAATTCCAGCTATCAGAAGCTGCTGTGTGTTCTCATTGTTCCCTCCCCTTCATCCCAACAGCCTCAGCTCTAGAATGACTGTATTTTTATAACCCAGCTCTTAAGGGGCACCAGCATTACAAGGCAGCAGGCAGACAAAAGCTTTTTAGTGCTGTCTGGTCTGGGGCTGGCTGGCTGTGGGACTCCCCATGTTGCCTGCAGAGGCTTTTAACCATAGTCTGGTCCTGTCTAACTCCACCTTGTGTCAGCAGCAACTAGAAATTACAGCCGTGTCCCTCATCACGTTCAGTGCCTGATTCTGAGGTTTCAGAGGGAAAATACATCCTGTTAGGCCAGGATTTTCACTCCTAAGCTCAGTACTAACCCCCAGCATCCCCTCTTCAAGACCAAGAGCCCCCTTCCTCCCTCAGGATGCCATCTAAGGGCTTCTTTTAGGTAAATCTCTTATCCTCAGCAATTACAGCAATAATACTTTCATCTTTTGAATTTAAGCAGCTCCCTCTTACCCAAACCGTAATCTTGAGCCCCAACACCTTGCCTTCAGGTCACGCTGGGAAAGCTACAGGGAAGTAGTTAGGAGGTGAGGTAAAATCACAAGACAGATCCTGCTATGACTCACCGCTTTCACTCCTCACTCAAGATGCCAGTGTCCGCTTCAGTTAACTCGCTACCGAAAAGAGCCGCACGAAAGGCATCTTCAGCCTTAGCTCAGCACCCACGTGAGGGACAGATGTGGAATGGCTACCGCAGGCTGCTTCCCTGGGCAGCCGTGCCATGCCTCCACTGTGCCAAATGCACCTTCCAACCCTCGCCTCCCTACAGCTGGGGGCTGCCAGCAGTGCTGGGGGTGTGCAGTCAGCAAGTGTCCACCAGCACAGATAACCTAGAGGATTCTTCTCTCCCACCTGCTCTGCTCCTGCCTCCCCCCCATCTTTAGCAGCAGGAATTTGGGGCAGGTCTGTCCTCCACACCAGCCCTCTGGATAAAAAATGCCACATAGCAGCCTGAGCACACAGAGGTGCTCAGCATCAGCAGAAGGAGCAAGGACTGAAGCCTGTCAACCCTCCAAGTGTTGGGGACACAACAATCCGCACACAGGCAGAGGCTCACAGCAGCTGGCTGGCTGATCTTTTGGACAGCAGAATCATTCCAGACAGCAGGAGCTGCTGGTCTAGCCCTTCCCTGTGTCTGGATGTAGTGTCACAGGCACAGCACCTGTGTGCGGACACCATTTAGAGTCCTGCACAAGCTGTAAAGGTGCATGCAATGGGGCACAAGGGGGTACAAGGCTTTTTTGCCAGCACAGGCAACTGCTCTCACCTCCCTCTCCTGTTTATCCCAGATGCTCCTTTCCCAGTTGCTGCCCGTGGAGCCTGAATCCACACTGCCTGAAGAGGACACGAAGGAGGGGTCCGGTTTGGGCCCTCAGTTGCTCTCCTCCACGCTCCCCTTCCTCCCATCTGGGGCTAGAGCTGCCCGGCCCTCTCTCTGGCGCAAGACCCTCGCCAGTCGCAAGTGGGCACTGCCTCGGGACTGGGCCTGGAAGGCCGTGCCCAGGGGTTGCTTTGGGTTGAAACTGGACCGCATTGGAACCTTCAGTGGTTTGGGGTGTTAGCCTTAGAGGGGGCTCTGAGGTGAGGGACTGAATAAGTGGGTAGGGAAGAGGTAAGGGGAGACTTGAGAGCACGGGTGCTGGGGAGGACAAGAGTGAGGTGGCTGTGGGGCCACCTCCTGCCTGCAGCCGGGGCAAAGGCTGGGACAGAAACCACCCATGCTCCCGTGGCCGGGAGCGGGAGCGGGAGCGGGAGCAGGAGCAGGCAGGCAGCACGCCGCTGGGCGGCTCACCAGCCCTGCTTCTCCACAGCCCGAGGAGACCCAGGCGCCCACAGGCAGCGCCGTCATGGGAACCAGCGCAGCCCTGTAACATCTGCCCTGAAGGAGAGCGGCAGCGGCATGAGGAGAAGCTGCCCGGTCCCACGGCTGCTTCCTCCCTCCTCTCTGTGCTCGAGGACTCCCGCTCATTAAACAGAGCTGTATCAATCTCTGCATCCATGCTCATCAGCAGCACCGCTGATGGGGCCCGTGTGCGGGTGCAGGGCTGGCAGCGGCGGCAGAGCCCCCACTCGCGGGGCCATGTTGGGTGCACGCCGCCATTGCGGGTGGGCCGGGCAGCACGCACGGTTGCAGTGCGGTGCTGCCGGGGCCACGGCAGAGCGGGGGGGGGGGGAGCTATCGACCGTGTGTGCTCGGGCACCAGGAGGGCTGCGTTGGCTCAACCCAGCCGCACTCTGCCCCCCGGGGCTGCGGTGTTTGCCGAGCAAGCACTGGGGCCTCCTGTTTGTGCAGAAGCTGTCCCAGAGAGCCATGCCGGCCCCTCAGTGCACCGCGGCTGGGGCACCACAAACCCCGGCATGCGCTCGCACCCCTCCTGCCCCACCGGTGTATCACACTAGCCATCATCCCCTGGCCTTTAAGAAAAGGTTGTAACATCAGCCGGGTCTAAACTTAGCCACAAGCCCCTCAGCAGCACCGGGAATAGCCGTGGTATATAAGAGTTGGGTTACGTTCAAGCTGTGTGACCCCTCTTGCCCCCCCACCCTGCTACCGGCATGGCTCCCCCACTCCGCTCTCTCCTCCTCATCCTCAAAGCCCTGCTGAGCCGAGCAGCCAGAGGGATAGGTCTGCTTCCACCATCCCTTGCCAGCCCGTCTGCACCCCCCTTCCTCCGGGACCCTCTCCCCATTCTGGCCGTGCTCTGAGCCTTGTGCTTAATGCACGTTTATCCCATTGCACTTGAGCTGCACAAGCCCCGCACCAAGCCACCGGCATGGCTCAAGTGAGAGACCCCAGCACGGGGAAGGGGGGCTGCAAGGTGGGCAGCAGCGGCAGCCATTCAGGCAGCGCTTCCCTCTCGGAGGCAGGCAGCCAGCGAAGGCGGGCCGAGGCGGCGGGCGGGCAGGATTTCCGCCGTCACGTCCCGCGGGCAGCAGCACTGCCGCAGTGCCTCATTAAGATGGTGTTCACGCTGCGGCGTGTGGCCTGCCGGGGAAGCAGAGCCATTCACATCACGCATGGCTAAACTCACCTCAGGAACACAAAGATGACCTGGGGTCCCCCCAGCTTGGGGGCGAGAGAGCGCTCAGCCAGCGGCTGCTGCCTCCCAGTGACGGGGGAGCTGCTGCTTCCTCGGGGAGCCTCCAGCATCTCTGCATCCCCTTTGCCCCCACCGCCATGCTGGGGTGCAGGCTGCAGCCGGAGGACTGGGGGTGTCTCTCTTTGTTACCAGGTGAAAGCGGTGCATGCCATGCCTCGGGGTACTAGCAGTGGTGAGTCCCGAGGAGGCAGCCCCTCACGGGCCATCACCGGGGAGCCCTTCCCGCCTCCCCAGACAGGGGCCCAGCCGCCCTTCCCCTCCCTGGGGATGCAGGGACAGGACCCAGCTTTCTCCGGCACCATGGTACCTATCACCATCACCACCACGGGTAGCAGTGTAGCCCCCACCCCACGGGGACCATTGTGGACCCCATACGAGCCGGCGTGAGGCCTTTGTTACTGACGGGGGGGGAATGTGGACCGATGAGCATGGGGGGATTGGGGAGGGGGGGAACCGAAGCAGCCGCACCCGCAGCGCGGGCGCACGTAGCCCAGCCCGGCCCCTGCGTTCCCATTCGGCGCCGGCCCGACGGGGCGGGCCCCAGCCCTTCCCGTGCGCGGGTATAAAGGGCGGAGGAGCGGTGCTGCGCCACCTTCTCACTGCGCGCTGGGGCGGCTTGGAGGCAGCAGGTAATGGGTTGGGGTGTGTGGTGGGCAGCGGCGGGGGTGTGTTCGATGGGGGAACAGCGGTGGGGGGGTGGGGAATGCTTAGGGAGGGGAGGAGGGAGGCGGCGTTGGGACCCCAACAGCATCACCCCCCCGGGGGCCGGGTCGTGGCGGGGGCGGACGGAGCGGAGCGGCTGCAGCAGCCCCCCCCCGCCCCGGGCGGAGCGGGACCGCGTGGCGGCGGGCACAAAGGCGGCGCGGAGCGGAGCGCTCCAAGATGGATGCGGGCGGGGGGGTTGGGGGGGATACATAGGCCGTGAGAGGGGGGAGGGGAAGAGAACGGGGAGGGGGGGGCGGGTTCCGAGCGCGTGCACACACGCACATCACAGCCTACCCGTTAACGGGGAGGCATTAACGGTGCTGCGGCGCTGCTCCCGGGGGCGGTGACCGGTTCCCTCCCGCCCCATCTGCGCCCCGTGCTCCTCACCGCCGGTTTGTGCCCGTAGGAACATCCCGAAGAGGCGAAGATGGTGAAAGTCGGAGTCAACGGGTGAGTACCGGGACCGGACTGCGGCACCGGGAGGCGCCCGGCGGTGTGGGGGGGGGCAAGGTCGACTCAAGGGCGTGGGAAGGGATTTGGGGTGGGGATAGCTGGTACCCCACTTGGCCCCCAGCACTGCATGGAGGGGATGGGGTGCAGCGGCTGCTGAGTCACTTCCATGCGGGTTGGGGGTGACTCACCCCGGAAGCGCAGCCGCTGCACGCCGGCCCCCCCCTCCTCCCCTCCGGGGGTCCCTGCACCCCACCGGAGGGCTTGAGCCTCCTGCAGAAAGGTCGTCCGATGGATCGTGTGTCGGGGGTGGCCCCGGGAGTGTGCCTTATCCCCCTGCGCTGAGGAGTAACCGGATCCCCGGGGCCCTCAGTAAATTTAGCGCTTGACCTTTTTGATGCGGGGGTTGCTCTTAATCTTTAACTGAGGTGCATCGGCCTTTGGACAGAGCTGCCTGACTCCCCGCTGACCTGCAGGGCAGGGAAGAGCGGATCATGCTGCGGGAAGGCAGTGGGTCATGCCCAGCCCGGCAGGTTCCCTGGTGCTCTCTCTCATCCGTGTCTATCTCTCCCCAGATTTGGCCGCATCGGCCGCCTGGTCACCCGGGCTGCCGTTCTCTCTGGGAAAGTCCAAGTGGTGGCCATTAACGATCCCTTCATTGATCTCAACTACATGGTGAGTTGCTTCGCAGTGCCCCCTCTGGGCCTTTCTGAGTAGGGCTGCTCTGGCTCTGTTCTAGTAGCTTCCTGGGAAAACCGGGTGTGAGGTAGAGGACACAGAGCCGGGAGGTTCAGCACAGCGCTGTGGTTAGACAAGGTCACTGTGGAGGTGGGAAGCTGAGATGGCAGCCAGGGTGCCTGACTTCTCTCTCTCTCCTTGCTAGGTTTACATGTTCAAATATGACTCTACTCATGGTCACTTCCGGGGCACTGTCAAGGCTGAGAATGGGAAGCTTGTGATTAATGGGAATGCCATCACCATCTTCCAGGAGTAAGTATCTTTATCTCTCTCCCCCCCCTGGAGAGCAAAAGCAGGTATTGTGCAGAGCAGCTCTTACGGTTTTGTCTCTCCTCAGGCGTGACCCCAGCAACATCAAGTGGGCAGATGCTGGTGCTGAATATGTTGTGGAGTCTACTGGTGTCTTCACCACTATGGAGAAGGCTGGGGTAAGTACATCACAGTAGCACACAGAAGAAGAGATGCTGCTGTTTCTGCCTGTGGGATGCATCACTTCATAGAGTTGCTCGAAATGGGGCTGGGAGGGAGGAGAGGTTGTCTGCTAGAAGTTGGAGGTAGTCTGAGTTAGCTAATTTTCTCTTTGTTCTTTCTTCCAGGCTCACCTGAAGGGTGGTGCTAAGCGTGTTATCATCTCTGCCCCCTCTGCTGATGCTCCCATGTTTGTGATGGGTGTCAACCATGAAAAGTATGACAAATCTCTGAAAATTGTCAGGTAAGGGGAAAGGCAGACACTCTTTGGCCTGGGGTCTTACCTTGCCTCTGTAGATGTGTTGTCTCTAGCTGATGTGCTTTCTTTTTCCTCTCCAACCCAGTAATGCCTCTTGCACTACTAACTGCCTGGCGCCCTTGGCCAAGGTCATCCATGACAACTTTGGCATCGTGGAGGGTCTTATGGTAGGTCTGAAGCTCGCTGCTGAGAAAAGTGCCTTATCCACAGGTCCCCTCACATGAGAGGGAAAGCATCTATACTCCCTGTGTCCCTTGGATGCTTTTTCCAGAGACTGTTGCCTGTGTTCTTACTCTGTGCTTTCTTCCCAGACCACTGTCCATGCCATCACAGCCACACAGAAGACAGTGGATGGGCCCTCTGGGAAGCTGTGGAGGGATGGCAGAGGTGCTGCCCAGAACATTATCCCAGCATCTACTGGGGCTGCTAAGGCTGTGGGAAAGGTCATCCCTGAGCTCAACGGGTGAGTGTTGTCCCTTTGGTGTCAGGAGGAGGCAGGCAGTGCCTGGCCAGCTCTGAACCATTCCTAGCAGCATGGTGTGTTGACTTGTATCTCTCACAGGAAACTTACCGGAATGGCTTTCCGTGTGCCAACCCCCAATGTCTCTGTTGTGGACCTGACCTGCCGTCTGGAAAAACCAGTAAGTGATGTGCACAAGGCTCTGAAAACTTGAGCTGCCCCTGCTTCTTTTAAACTCTGCCCTCTCTGCATCCATCTTGTCCCTAAGATGCGATCTTTGTGACAACAGCACCTGGCATGGTGCTTCCATGTGTTGTCTCCTTCCCACCCCTGATGGACATCTTTTGTGAGTTGGGATCTGACCATCTTAAATTTGTCTCTTTCCAGGCTAAGTATGATGACATCAAGAGGGTAGTGAAGGCTGCTGCTGACGGGCCCCTGAAGGGCATCCTGGCATACACAGAGGACCAGGTAAGTAACTCTTCATGTCTTGTCCTGTGGTTACTGGTGGTTACATCATTTTTCTGATGGCACCAGCCTTGCTGGGATCCTGGTTTGGTAACTTCTGCTTCTGGCTGTGGGTAACAATTAATACGTGTTACAACTTCCCTCTGTTCCAGGTTGTCTCCTGTGACTTCAATGGTGACAGCCATTCCTCCACCTTTGATGCGGGTGCTGGCATTGCACTGAACGACCATTTCGTCAAGCTGGTTTCCTGGTAGGCAAAGCCTGGGGGTGGTGTGGGGAAACTGGGGGATAGGGGCTGACACAGACAAGTCATAGGCTTACATTCTGTTCATCACTGCTGGATG